TATATATTGTAATTAGGCTCCAAAAACATAACATAATAATAATAAAAACATAACATAATAATAATAATAATAACAAACATAATACTGTAATATGTTTAAATTATTGTTCATTATTATGTCATTATTACATTATTATTATTATTTTCCTTTTTTGTGGCCTGATAACAATATTATATTGTAATTAAGATACAAAAACCTAACATAATTATAATAAACATAATAAAATTAAATAATAATAATAATAATAATTTAAATAATAACAATAATAAAAATAATTTTGTAATACAAATAGCAAGGGTAAAAGTGAAACACTGAATAATTATGTTGGGTAAAATATATTAAAAACATGTTGTGGAGTAGAATAGGGAGAAAAAATAATGAACACGATACCCGATATGCCAGTTATTATTTATACCATGAGAAACCAGTACATGTCAGTGGTATGTAGGAAGAATGCAATGATGAAGTCACTGAGTTGAAATTATTTTACTGCAACATCGTAAATATGTCATGCTAATTAACTGAAGCACGATATCAAATGATTATCTACTGTATTTCATAACACAATGGATTTGTTGTTCTAATTCTTTTATATCTATGACGGATATGATGTTGAATGCTGTTCGAAAATGTGGCGATTCTGAATCTAATCAAGTTGAATGTTGGCAGTGGCATACCTAGGGGTGCACTCCCCCCCCCCCCAAAAAAAATCAACTTGTTTCCCCATTCCCCTATTGAATTGTTCGAAGCAAAATAATCACGTTCCTTTAGATGAAAATCACCTCACATCACCATATTTTGTGAGCTAGTGCCCCCTTTACTTAATCATCGAGCCCCTACTTCACCTTCCCACCCCATCATGGGGGCCCACTCCATCATGGGGGCCCACTCCATCATGAGGGGCCCTCTCCCATTTCAAGTATCCTAGGTACACCACTGAATGTTAGCTAGTACTGTTGTTATGCAAAATAGAAATAGCATCTTAAGATTCACATATAATTAACGAGCAATAATTTAATTGCAAAGATTTACTCTTCAAGAGTTTACGGTCTTGATACAAAAATCAAGTGACACAGTTTTTTTGATTATAAAAAATCACCTTAGGTTCATAATCTATTTTTTTTTTTTTTCAATTTGAAAAAACATATATTTTAAAGATTAGAAAAATAATCATTATAAAAATTATTTTCTGGACAACATGCAGATCATTTTTAATTTTTGGTTTACTTTGATTGATTCAAAACTAATTAAAAGTCAAACAGTACAATACAATGAATAAATGAAAATGGAGACAATGACGAAATGAAAGCTGTTGAAAAGGTTTTGTCAACATGTTTATTACATGCATTGTGGAAACACTTGCCATGAAAATTGACCCTCGCTTAAAACAATCCCACTCGCATACAAATATCACACATACACACCCACATACACAGCCACACAGATGTGTGGAAGACAGCCACTTCGCAGAAAACATAACAAATCATTCCTCATCATTAAAAAAAACCCAATAAGGTGTTTCAACTGCAGGTATAATACAGATTAAAAATCGCATCACTGTCGTCCTATCATGGCAAAATGCTGAACAAAAATGGAAGGTACATCAATGTTTAAAAACCAGGCTTCGGCAATGAATATGAAAGGTGTAAATGTGACAGAAATATTTTAAGGAAACATTGATGATGATAAAATGATTGATGAAATTTTAGCAAATCATTTAAAAATATGAAAGTTAAGTACATTTTGATTCATTAATGGAACCATTGTTTTCCTTCAATTGAAAAGTGTTATGATTTAGAAAATATTTTTAGTCGTTCAAAATGTCACGGTAAAGTCATGAAGCTGCGAGGCTGCTACCAAACACCACCAATACATGCGCACAAATTGATGAGAAACGGCAAAACGTTAATATATTTAGGATATGATAAAATATATGAATACATTCATTATATTAAAGAATATGAAAAAAAAAGATGGATTTTAAATGGTGTTTGGTGAGGTACATAGCTCTGATTTACATATTCTTCTTCTGTTGCTTTGATGATATAGTACAAAATACTTTGGAATAAGGAATATTAAAAACTTGAATCAACATTAAAAAAAAAAACCAATAAAATATTTCTAAAATCTGTAAATATAGAAATACTGTTATTACTATATTAATTGCACTTCTGTCTTTTGGGGAGAAATATATTAAAATATATGATTTGATGTTAATTCACGGTGAAGAGTGAGGTAACCATCACCATAGATACATACTTGATGTGAAACTAGTGTACATACTTAACAAAAACAGAAGAGTATACCAATAAATTATGTCATGCCGCTGCTGGTTCATCTACCTCCCTCCGCTTTTTTTGAGGGGAAGGAATCTTTTTTTTTTTGCATCTGTAATTGATGCCAGGGAAGACTGTCAAGATGGGAACATGCATACAGAATAATGACTTAAGTGCTTGTTAAGTGAAAGGTCGTTGTTTAGCAACTACATCAAGGCATGATGGGACATACCATGATTGCATGATGGGATAGAATGATTGGTTGCTAGGCATGCTGCAACTATGGCTAATAATTACGGTTTTAATGAAATACGTTAATGCATAGCCTGGTTGCAATGCCGAATCATTACATCTTTGATTGACACAATATTCGTTGTTTTGAGTCCAATATAAAATTGCCAAATCAATGAATATTATTTCCGAGGTGCATTTAAATAATTTGAATTTGGGCCAAATAGTCATATTTTTTATTTGTTCACTCTCTACAATCTACATCGTTCTGATTACTTTTTGACATTAATGATAAAGAAAATCAGGTTATCATTCAATGGATGTTCTAAAAATAAAATGTGTTCTTCTTTTTGGTTCATTTAAAAATTGTGTAGAGACGACGTCTGTATATGAACATAGGAACATCAGCAAATAGATTGTGTGTGGGTATAAACAATGGGAGGGAAAGACGTACTGATGATCTCTTTGTAAATAATTACCAGTTCTGAAAAATTGATCCTGTTTAAATATTGTTTGTGACATGCATGCTACCAGCCGAAAGGATAAATGACGACACAAGACACGTGAGGTGCGGATCAAGAAGAGAGCTATGTTTTATGCGTAATGGTTTAAGAACAACATGATGGTGATGTTGAGAGTTCAATGACCTTTTCAATAATGACCGCAATCAGCTTGGTCTGTTCTCAACCGTTCTCCGTACGTTTTGCATTTTCTTTGTTCAAGAGATGACGATTTGAGAACAGAGCCCCACTCAACTTCTACAGTCTGACGTCACAATTTGAGTGACAGCTGGAAGTTTCTAGTTTTTAGATGCAAGATGATGAATCGTGCAGAAAAAAGGTTACGGTATGACCAAGCTACTTGCAATGTCACCAAAATGTAAATTGTGCTAAAAACAACGAAAAAAGTAATTAGCAAGGATAAATATGACATTAGGTTGATGACGGCTAGCTTATCACTGAGCCAAAATAAAGCAAAATTTTATCTCTTTATATAGTGTTAATTAAATACAATGGGATATAGGAGTTACTAGCTAAAATAGTGAAAGCACAGATTCAATTTGAACAATTAATTCAAATCAAACATGAAAAACAAATGAAAATTCATCAACTTAGAAACTAACATTTTGTCTTAAACAACGAAAGATATCAAGGCATGAAAGTCCTGGTCATCAACAGATTTGTGTACAATCAATCAAGCTTACTTTTGATTCAATCTGTTAAATTACTACATAATACTCCCAAAATTACACATAAATCAACATATCTCCGTCCTATCATAGCACCCTTATATAGTAGCATCATATTCTACATAATACAAAAACTTTTATGAAGAAAATATTATAATAGAAAAAAAAATTATACTTTATCTTTATCAATAACAGCTTGATACATATTCGATATAAATTATGAAAAACAATTTGAATCTCTCAAAAATCACTGGAAGGTTTTAAATACATTTTATGATTGGACAATTTGAATGATTTACAGAATGGATGGATGAATAAACTAATAGAATGAACAATGAGAAATGAATGCCTAAAACAATGAAAAATATAAAGAAAAACTAAGAAAAAAATTACCACAACCTGGAGAAGAGATTTTAAAACATCATTAGCACACAATTTATACAACAGGAAAGTTTATTTTATGGTTTTTGAGTTGTCAAAGACAAACATATATAAGGAATTGGTGACAATTGTTTTTCTTACCATTTGCACATATGGTTGAAAATCTCCTATTTTAGGAATTAACTAAGGCACATTTCAAAAAATTGAGGGGAAAAATTGCTTTTAATATGTACATAAAAAAATCACTTTCCATTTCTTAAAAAATATAAAAACATTTTTTTTTAGCATTCTCATCTTCTCCAGATGTGGTTCTTATACATTTCACAACTTTTGTTTTGGTAGAATAAATCATCAAAACAAAAAATGAGTACAAAAAATATCATTAAAATAAGAACTATGAATTTCATTTTTTTTCTCATACATACAACTACTTTTTAAAAAATGAAATGTAATGCTAAAATCATGCAATGATAATTAATACTTAAAATGGAATCCAATGCCCTCTAGAGTCGTAGTATTCAAACACAATTTTGTCTTAAACAGTCATTCAAGATTTTGGCTTAAGATTGGTATCAATCTTCCATATTTTACCAGCTACCATAAATCCTCTAGTATAGGCCCACCCTCTACCTTACGCACTTTTTATGTACCAGGTTTTTCTCAGGCAAAAAGCCCAGGTATGTTTTGAATGAGTAGCTTATCTGAATTTTACAAATATTCTAAAAAAAAAAAAACATCAACTATTAGCTTTGAATTAGGCATATAGTGCCTAGTTTTGAGTTCAAGAGGAGTGGGCTTATACCAGAGGAACTACGGAAGTATAGTTTGGAAGATTTTACTGGTAAAATCCAAGGACAGACATTTGATGGGTAAAAGGTTAGCCTGTAGATATCAGCTCAATCACATTGGCTCTATAAGGGACCGAATGAACTGGTTAAAAACAACGAGAGCACTTGGTATTGTGTGAAATGCTGATAACACTTCACATACAGATAAACAAACATGAAAAAGCAAAAGAAGCGAATCATCTAGCGAAAACACACACACACATGGCTACGTTGCCATACACTCCAACTACAAGCTGAAAACTACAATCAATATATATTTATATCTATATAAGCATTCAAAATAAAAATTTTGACTCTGACGAGCATTTGGATGAAAAAAAGAAATGATGAAATGACTTCTGTTAGTAATGTATGACAATGTAATGAAAGTGAATGACGATGAAAATGACCTGAAATGTCAAGGATGAGATGAAAGATGTTTTAACGTCCAATATTTCCTGTTTCTATAATGGGACTATACACATATGTCCCGAATTTGGCATTTTTGGTCATTTTGGTTCGATGAAAGGCATGTCGGAAAGAATGTGCAGAAAATTGCACTGTCTTAATAAATCTGAATCAATTAGATAAGAAGACAAATTATCTTAAATTACAATCTAATTACTTCATATATAAATTACCACCAACCCCCTCCCTGAAGCTTCCCTTCATCCCCTTTCCCACTTTCATAAACAAAGCAGCATTTGGGCTCTGATCGTGAGCTGTCACTTTTGAATTAAATTGTGTCATCATCATAACTGTTTCAAACTTTATATTCTATAACCTATTGGTTCTAAAAACTTACCCTAACTATCTTAAACTTTCTTCTCATTCTTTGATATATAAATTGAATATCTTTTCGTACATTTGTCTTTTCACAAATTGAAGTATAATTATCATAAATAAAACTTATTCATAATCTTTGAATAGTTAATATTCTTATCATTTTCTCGACAGAACATCTTTTTTTCTTCTTAACATGTATAGCAGTTAATATTTAGAATTTTAAATCAACTATACGGCAAAGTCTTATAATTTGTGTTTTGTTCGTAATGCCCCGTTGGCACAAATCAATATTGTTCCATAAATATTTAAATTTGTTCAAAAAATTAAATAAACTTTGCAGTTGAGAACCCAAATTTCTAGTTCATGTTAAACCTACAATCTATATTCTGATACATGGATCTAAACATCCAACAATTACTTTTCACAACAACAAATAAAAACACAGTTAACAAATTGAGTTCATTGGTTGAAAATAGAAATTTTGCAAAAATAGAGAAGCGTTCAAGGTCATGTTATGCGACAAATTACGTGAGAAATAGTCACATGATTTGTACCTGACCTCGTTCCAAAATCGTTTGATCGATACTGAAAAACACTGGGACAAAAATGACCCAAATTTGGTCTGAGTTTTTAACATCTAATCACCTGACCTCTATGTGGTCCCTTTCAATGCCCTATTCTGTTCTTCCTGAAATATTCTTTGGGAGACGAGAAAATGGGCCGTTTGAGTTGCACTGGGTGAGCCAGTTATGGTAACTTTTCGGTTACGCGTACCGGGAACGTATTCTCCCTTCTTGGAAATTTGGATTTTAGCCCCGGAATACTGTTGGAATTCTACTAACGTCTTCCCGCCTTTCCCCAGGATAGCACCTACTATTGTTTCTGGAACTTCAAATTCTAATGCACATTCTTTGGTAGCTTCTTTGATTTGTTCTGGAGCAAATGTAACTCCAACCCCAGGATAAGATGGTGCATGTGCCATTGCAAATCCAGGGACAAGTGCCTCACTGCCCATCGAAACTGCATGACCCGGGGTGCCATTTGGTGTATTTTCTACAACTGCTGTGGAAGTGATTGGTATAGCAGGGGTAGGTTTTGGTGGTGAAGGAGCACTACTCGCGGCAAGTTGGTAATGACCTCCCAAGAAACTTGATGCTGACATGGAAGATGGGGGGAATACGGGAGCAGAGGGCTGGGCTATAGCGTGAGCAGTTGCCCCTAATAAGGGACTAGTAGCCCCAATCCCCATCCCAGGTAAGGCACTTACATTATGGCATAGGCTATAACCATACTGAGCCAAATGTCCCATCGGGATACCGAGTCCATGTTCGGCTGCTGTGATCCCGTGATGCGCACTTAGCGGAGAAGGGGCTTGAGGGACACGTGCTCCAAAGACAGCTTGTGGTGTGAGCGCCATGCCGCCCACTGGGAGCCCAGGGAGACCCGGAGTTGTGGGTATACCCAGAGGACTTTTTGCAATAGTCTGCACTACACTATTTGTTTCCGCGAAAGGTGAGCCGGTTGGATTTGCATTAGCAACTGGACCGGTAATGGCAGCATAACTCAAATTGTTGCAACTACCACTTTGAGGATCTTCTTGTATTTTGGATACAACGAAAGACATGGCTTTTTTAACCGAATCGAGCTCTCCGGAGATTGTGATTACCCTCTCTGAAAGCGTGATACCTTCAGACTTCTGGGAGATTTGAACTCTGGCACTGCTTTGCTCCATAATTGATTTGATCATGGTTCCACCTTTCCCTATTATCAATCCAGCGGTACTATTAGGCACCACAACTTTAACCTGAAAAAGAAAAAACAATGTTTTGAAACATATGATATTTTGATATGGAAGCTTCTACAGTTTTACAAATGGCCGAAATCAGCACAGTTGCGAAGAAATATTAAACTTAAGGTTTCAAACACTAATGCACAAATGGATTGCTTTATCACCCTCTAGATTAGTTTTTAGGAGTTGATTGCAAATTATCATTTTACATAAAAAGCTAAGGTTGCTTCTAACAAACAACTGACCAGTCTCCCTGGCTCCTTTTGCTTATCACTGCCGGCCACTTATAGAAGCACCATTAACGTATTCAAAATCACATTGTCTTTGTACATTGATCAATTAAATATGCCATATTGTAACCTAAAGTTGATAACTGCCAATCCATGACTGAAGTAGCTTTTTAACTTAGAGTAAGCATTAACTCTACTTGTCCAATTTCCTACTTAAGTCACATTTTGAATGAGGTTCCACTTTGCAAATCTAATGTCTCGAGATCAGACACATGGAATGTGAACCACGGAATGTTTATCGCGCCAAAACTTGTGACCATCATGTCATTTGGACATTTGTATATCGCTGTTTTATAACGAGTTGTCATTTTTGTTAATGTACTCAGTATCGATAATTACTGTTTTCTAAATTGCTACTACATTTTACGGAACCTGATCTCCGCTTACAACATATCAACACAACATTCTCAACATATCAATCATGTTAGATAAGCAAATGTAATATTTATGTTCAATGCCACAACATAACCAAACCTTTGTCAAGGCCAAGGATCAAGTGATGGTGAATAAAATTATGAATCTAAACACTATATAGAAGATAATTTTCTATGCCTTTAGACACCAACTTTAGACCTAAAAATGTTTCATAATTCCAGTATAGATAGAAACCTGTATTCTTTTTACTCAGTAGCCGTTCAAATTAATTAAAAGGTAAATTGAATTCTCTGTATATAAAATTGCTAAAGGCAATTTTGATTCAATAATTCATACAATTCTTGAATCTAGACATTAAATAAACTTTCAATTCCTTAAAGGTAAATATGAGAAACTGCTTTTATTTGAAATCATTAGTAGTTCTAATGCAATTATGCAAGTTCTACTGTTCTAAACCAAATTCAGAGGCTGACAAACATGTGTAGAGTGACATGCCTAAATATGGTTATGACATGCTTAAATAAGGTCATGATGACATCACATCATGACCATATATTGGCAAATCATGACTATATATGGGCATACTACGGTTTTTTTGTCAAAGAAAATTTGATAGGGGTGGACAGAGCTTTAGGTTCTCGAAGTTGATCTCAAGCTGACCTCAAGATGACCTTTTGGAATGAAATGCATTAAAGTAGTCATTAAACTAATCAAGTCTCTTCACTATATCTCTCTTAAATCATTTTGCCATCAGATATTATTAGATTCTTCCATTAACCATTGTTAAGATTCTTCAAATCACTACTTCATTCAGGTTCTGCTATATTCCCACATTGCCCAAAGTATTTATATACGGGACTTCCTCTAATTAAAGACCACCTCTAATTAAAGACCACCTCTAATTAAAGACTACCTCCAACTAAAGACCACTTTTCTATGGTCCCAAACTAACAAATGTCTTTTATCTTTATTATTCTAATTAGAGACCAAAGCTGCAAAAGTATATGGAAACCCCGGTCCCAAAAGTGGTCTTTAATTGGAGGGAGACCAGTATTTTAATTTTTTTATTTCTTTATTCTGAAGCAAACCATCAAGTAGTGCTGTCATTGCAAAACTTATTTCTATTGTGGTCCTAAATATTAAATAGAAATAAGAAACAAACGAAAACTAACCAAACAATGAATAAAACATTCATACAATTACAATATATTCGATGACAAAACAAACCTAATCAAACTTGATTTTAAATTTGAATCAATTTCATATTAATCACTAATGGTCGAATCATTCTTTATTAAAAAAATAAATAAAAAGAATGTAACATAAAAACCAGGGCATGCAGGATATGAACAACAAAGATATAACATGGTTTTTACAAATTTCTACATTTTTATGATGCTAAATCAATAATTAAATTAATATTCTAAATAACAGAAGATAGGGTGTATGTGTACATTGGCTGGCCACCACATGTGTTGCGATAGTCGTAAAATACTATATAAATACAATGTAATCTTGGTGGATTTTAGTCATTTAATAACATGATAGCTTTCACCACCTTTTTAATATATACTCATTTTAGTACCAACAGGATAAAATCCTTTTATTTCTCTGATTTAAAAAAGTTTATTGTGTTTTAAAGTAAATGTTTGTAGTGGGCTTTAGCAGATATTAGCTCTTCCTTAATGGCCCATAAAGCAAATGAAATATCTAATTCAATTATGAGAGTGAGTAAAAATGTTATGGAGATACTACAATATAGGCCTAATTATATTATTATTACCAGCCATAAACTATACCAGCCTACATGTGTATTTTTAATTTACATATTTTTTTAATGAAATATTATACATATGTATTATAATTTAAGACATTTAAAGATAGTTTAACATTAATTCAAGGTTAATTTTAAAATATTCAGGATGAAAAGCATAATATCTGCCTTATACAAGGTTTATAATAGTGCATAGCAATTAGAATTTAACCTTCATGGAATATATTAATGAAATTATCTTTATTTACTAGAGCCAGCCACACTCCTTGGGGCTACTGTACTCATTAGTTCACAGGATACTGGAAAGAGCAATTTAATGGATAAAGCATCAAGGTGATAAATGTTAATGTTATTAGCACAAAAGTAAGAATAAAAAATACAGTAAACCTTTCACAAACGTATGAGCATTATACAGTATTTTTTTACTTATTAAAAAGAAAAATATTTGGACCATTTTTTGCATTATAGGAAAATTTTGGGAAAGGTCAATAGTTTCAAGTGTGCATGCTTATGTCAAAGGTCAAGACATATACACAATATCAATAGACAAGTTGCAATACCACAACCTTTTATACTATAATCATGTGAAGTTAAAGCCATCAGAAAGCATGGAATTAACTAAAATTATTAGATGTAGATTAAGAATTAGTTCAAGTAAAAATATTCATGAACATAAATTATGAAATGTTTTTGATCTATGAAATGTTTTCAATAGGTTACTTACTTTTAAGGCAATTATTTCATCTTTGTTTTATTGTTTTATAATTGTTACAGACAGTTTACATATTTTTATGAGTGATTGTTTATGCTTACAATGCGTAACGGAAAAACATACACTACTACAAGACAAATCCATGGTAAAGCTTGGCGTCGAACTAAGCCCATGTGGCCATCTTAAGTACCATAATAATTACATTCTGTTAGTTTTGACATTTAAAGAAACTCCATAGGAATAAAAAAGAGAATATGACATATCAAAATCAATTTTTTCACTAGAACTATCCCATTGCATAGCTGACTATGAAATAATACATAATTAATAGAAAATGACACAAATGTGACCGTTAGATAATAATTGCATTCTAAATTTTGATATTTAAATTATAATTATTTCTGAGAAAATCATTATCTGAAATTATTCTTAGAATACTAATATTTAAATATAGTTAATATCTATTTATGGCTTACGAAGAAATTGAAAATCTTAGCCAGTGCAACCCCTATCAATCTAATTCTAATTCTTGTTTTGAGTTGATTATTCTGATCGACGATGAGAATTGAATGTTAAGTAGTTTCAAAATCAAAGTTAAAAGTCAAAAACATTGAAAATAATTTAAAATATATTAGCTCAAATTTTCTTCTATGCCATTATGGGTTATTATTAACTATTAAGATATTTAAAATAAATGAAAATATGAAATGCTTAATATAATTTCAGCAAAACCTTTTAAAATGAAGAACATACCAATCTAAGACTAAATAAAATTAATTGTTAGTTTCATGTCAGGGATTTGAAATTATTTTGTGGTGAGGGTATAAATTACTATCCTATATAGTAGTGGAAAAACTGGCTATTACATAATAAAATAATAATTCTTTGTATTCATATTCAGCCAGTAATATGTTTCCACCTCTTCTTATTCTTTGACAACAATCTTTTAAATTGCCATTATTCTTATCTTCCATGGAAAAATGATTTTTTTAAACCGTAAATATTTATTTTTTCATGAGGCTCCAAAATTTGATGAGGGTGAGAACATTTAACTAGCAATAAATTTGATTTGGCCTAATGTGTTGAAACTCAAGTAATGTAACTTTACTTCATTGTTTTCCAGGATCCTTTTGATAAAATGAAGATAAGGGATGTAAGAAAATTGCATGCAGAATGATTTGCACATAAAAATCCAGTATCCATGGAACACTAATTGCCTTGTGCGACCCTAGAGATGGTTTAGCTTTTCTTTCATTTTCATACAGGAACTACATTATCTGTTAATGGCCGGATATATCATCAATTCTATGTATTTTTAAGCATAAACAACTGCCATAGCATTACTTAATTATCCCTAGAATCACCTTATATTACTGTACAGATTTTATTTGCATATTTTTTTTGCATATGCCTACATGAGTTTAAATTATGTACAATAACATCAATGGATTTAAATTATTGTATTAATGGCTTTAAATGATTGACAATGTAACAGTTTGATACAGTTCATATTTAAATAAATCTAATAACAAAAATTATTAATTTATATCACTCTATAGGTTAACAATTGAAAGGAAAGATGAAGTAGTTTAGTGCATTGGGATAACAGATTGTTTATCTGTCATTAATCTTTGTTATCTCTGCCAAAGAGGTTAATGTATTCACTACTGTCTGTCGGGCTGTTATCCAGTCTGTCTGCAGGATTACGCAAAAAGTAAAGAATGGATCATCATAACATTTTGTGGAATGGTACATAATAATCTAAGAAAGAAACTTTCAATTTTCTGGAAGAAAAGGACAAGGTCAATTTGACAGAAATTCAATTTTTATTATCCGTGAGCATTAAAGAAAATGGAATCGCCCATCGCATTCAGACAGCACTCAAGAAAACGATGTACCTGAATACGGTGGGCGATTCCATTATTTTCTCGAGGGTAAGCTGCAGCGCTAAAGAAAATAATGAGTCTGAATACGACAGGCGATTCCATTATTTTACTGAAGGTATGCTGTAGTTTCTCCGAAGGTATGCACCCAATGGAGTGACTGCTCTAGTATTCCATATTACCATCTTTCCTATTATACCCTAAGCAATACAATTTCCTGACACTCTCTTAGTTGGGTTGACTCTTGTCAATAGGAAATAAAATATATTTATTTTAAAATAAACATGATTATCTTTCGAACAACAATGAGAGAGTATTTGTGGTTGCGTGGATGTTCATTTACGGTGTCAGTGGCCCATTGTTCTATTTTATTTTGAGTGTTGTGATTTTACAGTCAGTTTGTATAATCAGGTTAAGTCTAACTATCTACTTTATTGTGATTTTTTTTTATGGAAGGCTAAGTAAATAAATGAATGAGATAGACATTAGGTACGTTGTTAAGAAAGGGTGAGAAACTTGAACATTATTATTATTATTTTTCTTTCTAGTAACTGTTCCGTACAATTATAGTCAGTTATGCAGTTTCCCAGGTATTGGAAGAAGAATGTCATCTTTGTTTACTTTGCAGACTAAGTACAGTAAATTATTATGATTATGACAATATAGAGCAGTGTATCTTATCAACATTATCTTATCTTATTTTAAAGAACAAGCAATTCCTCGCACGTTATTTATTGTAAAGAGGAAAATAATGATTTGAAAATAAAATAATCACGTCATAAAAGCTCTTCAAAAACAAACTTTTGAATTCTTTGAAATTTTATGATTCATTTAAAAATTATTGATTTCAAAGTCACAATAACTCATATTGACTGAAGAATGCACTTAATATACTATCATTATTCCTATATTGATCAGATTTTGGCAGTTAATATCTTTCTGGAATGGCAAAATCAATAAAAGTATTACACAATGAGAAAACACAATAGAAATACAGAAGCTTTGACTCTGGATTTCTTATTAAGCTTTTTTGGCAACTGGTTAAAATGTAGCTTTTGATATTGATGATGTTATGATTACTGCATCAATTAAGCAGGATAATTATGCTAATCATGATAAAGCTCGATATTAAGTAAATGATGTACATCTTCAATAGGTCCTTAGGCCTAAGTGTTTATTGAGGAAATCAGCACATTTTCAAGCTGATCCCTGGGAGGGAATTCTGTCCTCCCCCTACCTTCCCACATGTGCAATCTTGGTGTCCCGAGTCTCTCGTTCGTAGGACGGGTTACAGCTAGTATTAATAATTATTCAATAGAGAAAAAAAAACTCAACGAATTACTAATTATACTGTAGCCCATGACTCTATAGCATCAACCAGACACCAGACTGGGAGAAGGGGAGGGGGAGGGGATATAAGAGAACAGTTTGAGTTAATGAGTATGATCTAGAGAATTTAAAGGAAAATAATTAATATGCACATAAATAAATAATTGATACGCACATACTGTATTACTACGGCCTGTTGCTGAACATAGAGGAACCAATGCACATTAGAGATCATCACAAATCTTGTGTACGTCTCAAGCGTGCACAGGATTCATAATTTCTGAAACGGAACACTAGGTAACACTAGGCCTAGAGAACAGTTCTAGAAAAATTCATAAAACATTGTTTTATTCTGAAAAAAAATAACCTAGTCTACATTACAAACTATAAATATTGTAAAAACGTTTATCCCTTTCTAACTTTAAATTGCAAATATAAATGAAATATATTTAAAAAATATAATTTTGGAATTTATATTCAAAGGTTATAAAACTAAACTCACAATGTAAAAGTAGATAATTGAACACATAAATTTCTAATGGTCAATAAAATTTTTCTGTCGTAAGAATTGTGAAACCAACGTATGGGAACATAATACTCATTGGAAGTATTAATAGTTCTCATAAAAAGCATAAAATACTACATCTAACAATAAAAATTTTAATATATCTTGAATTAGAAAAAACTCAGTTTCAGCCAAATCAAAAGTGTTCTTCCTTTGATAGAGATAGAAATAATAATAATAAATTGTTGTTTATTAAAAATTAAATATGTAAAATGTATAACACTGTTTTATATTCGATGAGTATTAGTAAGATTTATTAACAGGATCTGAGTCACATCATATACATAGAAATTTCGATTGGAAACAGTTTAATTGGACGAAGGTTAATTATTATTGTAGAAGACATGAATTGCGACAGATAGGATTACAGAATTTAAAAGATGTAAATATTAATGTTTACAAAAAAATATCAACTCATATTTTTAAATTCATCTCCATGTTCAGTTCAGTGAACCAATGCTTGGATAAGTTAAATAACTATCCAACGAGATTTTACTTACTGCCAAACCTCTCTGAATGATTAGTTGTCCCTACGGTAAACACACTCATGTAACTTATCAAAGGTATTAACACAAATATTGAGACATGCTAAAACATTAATGCCAAAATAGAACTTAAATAAATAGCACCCTCTATAGTTACATAAGAAGCGGTTGACCTGATCAGGAACAAAAAGTCATAGATAGAATAGAATGATCTGAATGTAGGAGAAATATTACAATCAGTGACTTGTCCTGCCAATGACATGCATCACAAAAGATTCCTCAAAACACAATGAATCTTACATAATGCATACCAGTATGCTGTTCATATGCTAAAGAGAGTATTTCATCATTAGTAGTAGTTCAAGAACAAGCAATTTTCAACAGACTATGCCCAGCTGTTTAGTGGATGATTGTCAACAGAGAAGGCTGAATGAAGGTCTAACAACACCTCCATCTTGTACTACAAAAATAATAATGTAATGAAGTAGGACTTGAAATAGCACATTATACTAATTATATACAAGTGTTAATGTGACTAAAAAGAAAAGAAATATGTGGTAATAATAGAAATAAGCAGACCTTAACAGATTTCAACCATCTGTAACTTGTAAGAGACAAACATAAAAGAAGAATAGAATAAAAGGGGTGGATGAACTTTCTAAATTTTCTATGAATAAATAGCTTTGTCTGTAATGCCTATTCAATTACTCCTTTGATAAACCGGCTCGGCTTGTAAGAACAGTCACAAGGTTTTTTGTACCTTAATACACACAGTAGACAATAATTAAAGGAAGGTAACAAAATATACAATTTACATAAAATATAGAATCATTCCAAGATGCATGACCTTTAACACCACTTTGAAAATGATCACCAATGGTGATCAAAACATCAGGTTAGTAAACATTTTAAAATTGTTATGAACCATCCTAAAAAGAATTTGCCCTACCTGACGTGTTATCGTACTGAATGCTCAGTGTGTTCCCAAATACTTACGAAAATACGTACTGAGTATTCGGTATGCCAACACGTCAAGTAGGGAAAAAAACATCATTTTTATTACCAATCTCCTGATGCCAAACAATATTGAAATATAGAGTAGTTATATTATACTATAAATATATATACACCCACATATATACAGTCTATATAAATGCATATAAGTTTTCTATTATGAACATAAACCTCTGTAATGCCTATCTATTAAACTCTACTCCTTTGAGATAGTTTGATTGAGCACTGAAGAATTATGATTGAAATGGATTTTATTAAATAGTGTAATGTCTAGAAAGAAATACAAGTAAAGACTTTCTCCTTCTGCATTTACTCAATATGCAAATACACGCCAAAATGAATGGTAAGAATGAAGAGTTCTTCATATATAATGAAACTCAACACCTTCTTCTCGAATTGCTATACGATTTCTCAGTGATAATAATGAATGTGAAATTGCTTACTTGACGAGCTCTTTCGGGAGATGTAACATTCTCCGCCCCAGTTTGAGCCCCAAGTTGAGGTGACTCTTTGATTTTCTCTATAAAAAACGTTGAGACTGTGTTAATAGCGTCTTCTGTGCCGGTAATTAGGGTTACTCGCTCAGTGGTGCCTGAAATAATGAGAACACAGAATCAAGAATAAATGTTTGCAAATTAGTTAAATTGAAATCAATGAGATGGTAATTGTTACATTTATTGATTTTGAAATATTAAAAGCTCTTGGAAATAATATACTATATAAATAAGTAATATAATATAAAAAAATATTTGGTAAAATATAGGCCAATCAGTATACTAGCATAAATTATTACGGAATTGTGCCATTGTTGAACAATTCATATTTCAAATTCTGTTCCCAGATGTTTTTAAAATATTTACGTCATTATATATGTATTTTAAAACCATTTTGAATTATTCCATTTGTAACATTATTAAATAAAATATTTAAAATGTTATTTAATAAAAATTTAATCAAATTTTGCATTTTATCACTTATTGAAATTGACATTGAATTTAATATCTTAATTCATAATATTAATACTATTATATAATTAATTCCAAGATTACTAAATAATGTTGCATAACATATTCATTTAATTCAGAGAAAATATATATTGTATAAAAATCACTTATGCAGTAGTTATTTTTAGTTAATATAGAGAAAATATATATTGTATAAAAATCAATTTATGCAGTAGTTGTTTTTACACTTTTGTCTTAAATAAATTTTTAATTCTCATTGGATGTTAAACATATATTAACTAGATTAATACAATAACAACCAATCAGAATTAGAAATTTGTTTAAAACTGGAGTAAATATAGCCGCCTCCTTATTTTTATCACATGGAGAAATGATCTAGTTGTTTATGTTGTTAGCTGCACTTTTTTATTCAAGCTAGCATGGCTGATAATCAAGCCTTGCTTACGGCTTCCATGGAAAACACATCTTGGGTAACCTAAGCGAGTGGCATTAATGAGAGTATCATTCATTAAAATTGTTTGCCATGGAAATTGAGAATCTGCTCTACCATAGAGTAGCTCCAGGGTTGTAGGACTACATATAAACAGTTATCATTGAAAATTATCAAATAGATCGAAACATTGAATCTCAAAATGTTGTTCTTTTTAAGAAAGTAACAGAAATATGCTAAACTGATGAGAGAACACGGCTACCAGGGTTCAGACAAAAACAAAAAACAATTGATATAAACAAAAAAATAGTCATAATTATATTAACAAAAGTAGATTCTAATTTAAAAAAATGTCATTATGAAACTGTAAATCAGGGGTGGATCCAGGATTAATAGAGGGGGGGCTTCAAAATGTTTCCGAAAAACCCCAAAATGAAAGGAGGGTCCGGGAAAATTTGGATTCCTAGATGGCCAGAAATTAACTTTCCCGACTTCTGAGGAGTCTTTTAATGACCTTTAAGTTCTTCAAAATTCACAGTTTTTCCCTACTTGAAAAAAGGTCAGGTAATTTCATCTCATGCATTCTATACATAGAGGAAAAAATCAAAGACATAGGCAATATATTATTATATTCCAACAAAATTGAGTAGTTAAATATTTAGTCTTTCTTCCATGGATCGATGAACTGATAAGCCTGAAGGATGCATTTTCGTACATCAATTATTACCATGGCGAACGAAAAAACAGTGTGTATAATAAATTTAATTGAAAACTAGTTGGGCTAAGCCTAGTTTTTCTGATCTGCCAACCTATGCCTAGGTTAGCATGCCTTTTGTAAGCCAGCACCCAGTTGTATTTTGTTACGTTTCTTCACAGAGGAGGTTCGTCCGAACCCCCTGAACCTCCCCTGGATCCGCCAGTGGTAAATATTAAAACTCTGTCCACGCTACCATATTTGATGTGACAAATTTGTGTGATGTGCCCCTGGGCATTATGATGTTACACTCAAATATAGGAATAATTGCCACATAAATTTTCATAGTTTTTAGAGATTACGAGGAGGCATTGAAGACTACCTGTGAATATAAAGTCTGAACACAAAGGAAAGGACAAATCAGGATATTGAAGACTTGGGACACACTTCAATCAAGAAATAATTAAACAGTTAAAAACCAAAGAAATGAATGTTTAATTGATGGCTCAAAAACAGAGAAATATGACCTCAATGAGGTACTATTTACCCACAGACTAATGATACAAATATGTCAGATGCCAAAAAACTGAGTAATGATTATTCAATT